ATCTTGATTCTCCTAATCATCAGGATCATCCCCCAACAAACGGAAATCAAATCTGAGTTTATTTCACTAAGATATTGCCAAAACAAAAATTACCATAAACGGCAAAAACGCTTAATTGGGGTCTAAACGATGTGATCATTGGCTTGTTTCCAATAAAATTAGACTAGCAATTCGCTCAAAACGAACAAACCCGAAATTAAATGAAATTATTATTTTGCCTTCATCACATACCAAGTAATTATTCAATACTGATTTTTTTGCTTATATTATCAACTTGTATTCTTATCTTAATACATACAAAGGGAGTGGAAATGACTCATACCTATGTACTGTTGTGGAATAGACCTTTAATTGGTGGAATCCAGGCATAGTTTCAACTTACCATTCAATATCAAACAATCAATTAAAACTACGACCCACAACTTGTATTCACTTATGGTTGTTTTCTTCCTTTCTCATCCACAAAGGAACAAGGTTTAGTGTTGATTTGCAAGCTACAAAGGCAAAGAGAAGGCAAAGGCACGAAGAAGGAGACGATAGAAAGCAACAACAATTTTCTCTTCTAAACACAATGCTCACACACGTTTCCAATACTATGATAATGGGTATATATAGGTTGTGTTATATCATCAATTAGGCCAAGACACAGGGTAATGAGCCAAGATACAAGAAAGCCATCTTATAAGTAAATTTGGGTCAAGGCAATATTAAAAAATTAAGTTGCTAGTAGTAGGCCACGTTGCTTTCGGATCGAGCATACAAATTGATTGTATTGATAATTATTTCACTCATTGGACGAGGCTTATGAAATATATTCTAAACTGTAACATCATTACCCGAGATTTATTGGATATCAAAAATCCAACATGTACCACTATAATTTGGGTATTGTTTTTCTTATTTTTTTTTGGTTATTATTGGTCTCGAAAGTAGGGATTATGGTTTAATCCATAAAATGTCAACTAATTTCTCAACACTGAATCATTTTTTTCAGGGGCCCTGGAGTGGGTTCACTAGTAATATCTTGGATTATCACTTTATACACTCTATGGCAAATGGTTGAGAAGCATGAAATAATTCCTGGGAAACGTTTCGACAGATACCATGAACTCGGACAACATGCATTCGGTGAAAAACTTGGTCTTTACATTGTAATACCTCAACAACTAATGGTTGAAGCTGGTATAGACATAGTTTACATGGTTACAGGAGGGGAATGTTTGCAGAGGTTTCATGATTTAGTATGCAAAGATTGCAAGAAGATTAAGCTAACCTATTTTATCATGATCTTCGCCTCTGTTCAATTCGTGTTGTGTCAGCTTCCGAACTTCAATGCCATCTATGGAGTGTCTTTGGTTGCAGCTGTCATGTCCTTGAGGTAGACAACATCCTTTTTGCCTGTGAATTATGTTAAATTTCTTTATATCATTTTTGAGAAATCGCTCCTGAAAATAGTATATTCATTTTCACAAATAGTGCGAGTTACAATACATTATTAAACTTAGAAAGATGGACATAAATCTCTGGTTTCATGAAATCCAGTGACTGGTGTAAGATTATTATTACAATCTTTAACCTCGTCATATGTCGAAAGAAAAGCTTTAAACTTATGCACGTCAAGAAAAAAGTGTGAAAGTGAGGGAATAAATCAATATGTTTGATTAATTTCTCAATAGTTGGCCAGACCAGCTAAAGAGGATTCAGAAAACGCCTTTCTCCCTTGCTATATTTTATGTTCTTCAATCGCATTTGATGATTATTTATTGTGAATCTGTTCGACATATAAGTTTGTTATGATCATCTGATATAAGCTATGGAATCCTAATACACTGATGCTATGACATGAAGTTACTCAACTATTGCTTGGGGGGCATCACTCAACGAGGGTGTACAACCAGACGTGCAATACGGCTATAACGCCACAACCACAGCAGGAATTTTTTTCAACTTCTTCAATTCCTTGGGTAGTGTTGCATTTGCTTATGCTGGTCATAATGTGGTCATGGAGATTCAAGCTACAATGCCTTCTACACCAGAGAAGCCATCTAAGGGACCTATGTGGAGAGGCGTCATTGCTGCTTACGTAGCCATTGCATTCTGCTACTTCCCTGTCGCTCTTATTGGGTATTGGATTTTTGGGAATAAGGTCGACGAAAACATTTTTAGGTCCTTAGAAAAGCCTGTGTGGTTAATTGCCATGGCTAACCTGTTTGTTGTCGTTCATCTCATTGGGGGCTATCAGGTAGGCACCTGGCTTTGTTTCCTTCAATCATTTATTCGTTCTAAAAAAGTAATTAATTTTTTTTTAATTTTTAATTTTTATTTCAGATCTATGCAATGCCAGTTTTTGATATGATAGAATATGCACTCGTAAAAATACTAAAATTCAAGCCTAGTTGGATGTTGCGAATTGTTTCAAGGAATATTTACGTTGGTATGTACAATTTGTTTTCTACGAATCCTGCATTATACGATCTGTGGTCTATTATATCATCATGTTCCTCACAAGTTTATGCACTCCTAATCGATTGCAGCATTTACTATGGTTGTTGGAATTACCATCCCTTTCTTCAATGGTCTTCTCGGGTTTTTTGGTGGATTTGCTTTTGCGTCAACTACATACTTTGTGAGTAAATATACTCCACTGGAAGCATTGCACAAGATAACGAACAAGATCTTAAGAAGCTTTATTCTTTAATCTTGTAGTACAATGTCCTCTAGCATGCCTAAGATGACTTCGAAGGCATCCTTGAAATGATGGGTGATTAATAAAGAGAGACATAGGACAAATTTTGTTGGTTGTTTTTATCAAGTTAAATATACTCCAGAGTATCAAATATGTCACAAGTGCCATATCATTCTTATTTGTATTTTATAGCTGAATGTAGATCTGTTTTTGCACATTCTTGCAGCTTCCTTGTATCATTTGGCTAGCTATCTACAAACCAAGGAAATTCAGTCTATCTTGGTTTACTAACTGGGTAAGTGTGAAATCTGCCATCACAATCTTCTTGAGTTTTTGCTTTGACAATAAAAAACCTGACTGATTCAATTTCTCAATATGGATTTCAGATTTGCATTGTTCTTGGAGTTATTTTGATGATTGTCGCATCTATTGGAGGATTAAGGCAGATTATTGTCCAAGCAAAGGGTTACAAATTCTTCTCATAAGTTAAAGAAATTTGAGAAATTCCTTGTAAAATTTCTCAAAAACAGAAATAACTTAAGTGGACGGAATTTAAGGATTAAGGCAGATTATTCTCCAAGCAAAGGCTTATAAATTCTTCTCATAAGTTAAAGAAATTTAAGAAATTCCTCGTAAAATTTCTCTAAAACAAAAATAACTTAAGTGGAAGGAATTCTGGCCGTGTAATTAGACGAAGATAATTTTGTGAGGCTTTCCACTGCTTCAGGATTTCTATTTCTGCATTTATTCTGTGCATAAACTTGTTTTTCAGACTTTCTTATATGCAATCCCTCATGTTTGGTAAAAAAAAGGTTTGATTGCACTGAACATTTTTAAGGGAGAAGAGAAGCTAAAATCTTATTATTATATTGTTTAGTCGTATCTAGTACAGTATGTCAAACCTATACTAAATGTGTATGGTTAGGTTGAATGTTTTGTGCAGCAATGTATATTGTGTGTTGACATATTTGAAATAGCAGTGGTCAAGTTACCATACTTGCATTGCTAAATACAGGTATAATCTCTTGTGCAATTCGAGAAAAAAAAGATCATAATATATTCATATATCGTGAGGCTACCCTTCTGTTTCAACAACTCATAGGCGTCGCATTTGTCTCTAGCTTGTTGATCTTGTAAGGCTTGGTAACAATTAGGGTGTTGAAATTATATTCGAAAGTGCCTTAACACCGTACCTTAACTGCAAGCTCTAATGAGACTTGTTTGCTGGAAACTCATTGTATAATACTGATGGTAGCAAATATTGTCATAATGAGAGCATCATAATTTAGTACTTAGAATTAATTGAGTTCATGTCAGCTTATCGTTGAGACTTCTCTTCTAGAGCTCAGTAAAGTATGAGAGTAAACAATGTCCTGACTATCAAAGAATTTAAGTTCCTTGATTGAATTTACAGTGGCAGAGAATTATAGAAGCAACAGAAAGAAATAGACTCAAACATCTCAACAGGGATGGCTAATACATCAGACTAGAGATATAGGTTGTACCTTAAAAATATAAGATCAAGTGAAGTCTTTTAACCATCGCATTCTTCTTCCTCCATCCCTTAATATTTCTTCCTTTTAATTCTTGAATAGCTAAAAACACAACATACCTACTAAACAATATACATTACAAGATAATAAGACTAAACTACGCGTAAAAAATAATTTTTATTTTATTTTATAGAAAACTTGATTATCTAGGATAACAAGGAGGCAACGTTTAACAGCCGAGCTACCTAGTGCCTTTCTGTGTTGTCATACCCAGAAAGGGGCACCACACTGCCAACAGTGATCTCTCCAAGATTACTTCCTTCAATTCTCAGACAGTGGCAAATTTCTACCCGACTGCAATGGTGAAAGCCTTCACAAATGTTCAACTGAATACAAAAGCACTTGTTATTGACAGAAGAGAGCAGTAAGCTACTAAGTTTGGAACTGAAAGCAAACTCCAGAAATCACTAGCCAACTTTTCAACACTTGTTAGTCCCTTATAGTAATAGCATAAAAAGACTCCTACAAATTTTAGCGATCAAAATATCTACAAAGTGTTAAAAATTATTTTCAATACGATGAATTTGGATGTTTCATCAGTGGCTTTGGGTCAGGACATATGAGATATAGCTGAATGAGGAGTCCAATTTGAGGAAATTTGTGGGCAGTAGTGACCGCTGGAGCTAGCGGGCAGGGAGTGAACGGGCACTATTGGTTCCTGTTTTAGTTTTGGCCGGTTTTCTCCTTTTACCCTTGTATTTTGAGATACTTTTGACGTTTTTTTAACCCGAATTCAAATTGGAAAGCCACCATTGATAGGGTTCAATTTTTAAAAAGGTTTCAAGGGAAATTTATAAATAGATAAGTTTTTTTCATTGAAGAAACAGATGAAAAATACATTGTTGTATTTTGTATTCTTTTCTTCCTCCTAAATTGTTTTCTTGAATTCATTGTTTCTAAATTATCTGTCTCATTCTATCAATCTTCAGAGATAGAATATGATCTCTCTAAGTTCTCTCTCCTTTGTATTTCAGGTTGTATTCGTTGGTGTACAACATAGCCGACTTATTTGTTCCATTGTATCCTGGAGGAAAATTTGTTTTAGCGTAAGTGCATCACATTGTAGTGGAGGCAATTATTGCCCTTAGGAAAAAGACTCAGCCACGAGTCTTGGAACTTTTCTACTGAATATTTGCAGCCGTTGAAGAGGTTTCTTCTACTACAAGTCGAGTTTGATTACTACACTGAAGAGTTTAGTACTAACACAAAAAAACCTACAACACTAAGAATAAAAAGAACCTAAGTTCTCCCATTAAAGGTTGATGCTGGTCGTCATCTAATTGGCTGCAGCTACACGTGGTCAGTTGAAATAAGCTGAGCAGTTGCCCTTGACACTCCGGCGTCTAATGGTGATTTCCATGCATTCTCTCAGTCTTACCATGCAAATGCCTGTCTGAAGTCCATATTGCTAATAACACCCCTGATTTTCCTGCTAGCAATAGCTCTGTACAAAATCTCACTGTTTGATTCTTGTCCAAATTCATTATGATCACAAAATGCAAATAAGGGATTCTTGTGGGATTTGTTCGCTTCATTTGTTTTATGTAGAGGGCAATGCTCAAAATAGATAAACAATATGGCTCCCACTTCTCTTAAGAGATCCTTACTGTCACGACTCGTCCCAAGTCACCTTAATAGACCT